ATGGCCAGGTGGTGCGCATCAGCCTCTGTCCCGCAGACCCCCCGCCGGGAGATCACCAAGGTGGCCCAGTTCCTGGGGAAAGAGCTGTCGGAGGCGGCGCTGGACGCCATCACCCGTCACACCTCCTTCGAGACCATGCGGGACAACCCCAGCACCAACTTCACCATGGTGCCCTCCAACTTCATGGACCACAGCATCTCCCCCTTCATGCGCAAAGGTGAGCAGCCCCGCATGGGGGGTCCTGGCACCCCATGTCCCCTGACCCCGCTGAGCCCCATCTCGCCCGGCCCCAGGCACCACTGGGGACTGGAAGAACTACTTCACGGTGGCCCAGAGCGAGCGCTTCGATGAGGACTACGCACAGAAGATGTCGGGTACCGACCTGCGCTTCCGCACCCAGATCTGAGGCAGTGGGTGCCCCTGAATCCTCTCCCATTCATCACACTCCCCGGCAGCAGCTCCAGTGCCTACCCGCCTCTCACCGACTTCCCTGTGCCAAAGGGACTTTTGCAAAAATAAAGAGTTTTATTTCTGCATCGTTGTCCCAAATCTGTGCCTGTGTGAAAGCTGCTGCATCGCTACGAAGCGCCGCAGAGCCTCATCCCATCTTGCATCCCCCCAGCCACATATTCCCCTCCCGGGACACGTGCAGGAATACCCTCAGGAGAGTTTTTTGGGAGGAATCTAGAAGCCAGTAAGCGGTACAGAGGCATTTCCAGCTCACGACGAATAAAAGCCATTAGAAACCTCCCCGCCAATGTCGTGCTTTGGGGGGGACACAGAGCAGGACAGGGCACGGTGTTGGCTGTGCACCCCCTGTGCTGCTGGGGCCATGCAGAAGAGACGAGGTGAGCGGGACAGGGACACAACCAGCCCTGGGATGGCCGGGAGATGGATGCAGCCTGGGGGGGGCTGGGGACCAATCCTGCCCCCCATAAGCAATGGAGCTGGAGGCGAAAGGAGTAGGTTGCCAAGAGCTTTTGTGCTGTTCTGCTCCCAGGGATCTGGAATCTTTCATACTGTGCCAGCCTGCCCAGCACCAGTGTTATCTTAAATGATCATAAAACAATGGCCATGGGTTTCTGGTTCTGCTCAGATGCTGGCAGCTTATCTGTGCTGCATGACTCAGCTTCCATATTGCTGAGTAAAAATAATCGATGTAATTACAGTCACGAGCAGAGATAGCCGTGGCTTCAGCCGCTGCTCCTGAGCCAGGTGCGATTGTCTGCGCCTGGTCGCTCTGGAGTTTTGGCTTCTACAAACCTGCCTTTGCAGCCCCGGCTCTCAGGACACCCAACACATCCCGTAGGACACTGTACCACCTCCGGGGATTTGCTTTTCCCCCACAACTTGCTTTTTTAGGGTTTTGTTGGGGTGGTTTTTTGTTTTCATTTATTTTTTTAGAGGTCCCTTGCTTCATGCACCGAGACACCCCCAGCAACTCACCCGCATTCATCTTCCCCCATCCCCCGAGACTCTGTAGCCATGTCTCACAACACAGCCCCTCCCTGGCTGTGTATTTTTGGGCTAAAGGCATCTCAGTCCATCCAGGCACTGGGCTGCCTTTGCCGGTTTTTCTCTCAGCCCCTCAACACCCTGACGTCTTGCTACAAGAATTTCCTTTCATTCTTACTCCTCTTGCAGCTCAGCACTCCAGAAAGTGTTTTGGCCCCACCACTCAAGTCAACCACTTGTTCCTCCTTATTTATTTGCTCCAGGCATTTTCTTCCCTCCCCAAATCTCTCGCATGCCTGGTTGTCCCTGTTTGGATATAAAGCCAGTTTCCCAACCGCCCCCGCTTTCCTCCTTAGATATTTGCACTCTGTGGAAGCACATGCTTTTGGGTTTTTTCTCCTTTTCAATGACTCTATTTAAAGACGCC